TTGAGGTGGTGGAGAAGGCGATAGAGGATGCCAGGTGGAATGCAGCGTTCAACGGTGAGTTCAGGCTCACCGGGGCTGAAAACTTCACACTAACCACTGAAAAATTGGAAGAAGAATCATAGAATTGTAGAATGGTTAGAGTTGGAAGAGACCTTAAAGATCTTCTTGTTCCAACCCCCTGCCATGGGCAGGGACACCTCCCACCAGACCAGGTTGCTCAAAGCCCCATCCAGCCTGGCCTTGAACCCCTCCAGGGATGGGGCAGCCACAACTTCACTGGGCAACCTGGACCAGTGTCTCACCACCCTCACAGGAAAGAGTTTCTTCCTGATATCTAATTTAATCTCCCCTCTTCCAATTTAAAACCGTTACCCCTTGTCCTGTCACTGCACTTCCTGACAAAGAGTCCCTCTCCAGCTCTCCTGTAGCTCCCTTCAGATATTGGAAGGAGCAGAGCGAGAAGAAGTGAGGGGAGGGATGCTAACAGGTTCCTTCCACGCAGCAAAGGGCAGTGCTTTGTGTTCCACCTGACGTCTGGTGAGACTGACTCTGCTCGGTTCATCTGGCTGCTTTTTGCTTCGCAGGGATTTCAAACTGTGAGTTTCACCGTGGAAAGGCAGAGACCGTGTTACCACAACTCCTGTCATCATGGGGGGATGCCCGACCCCTTGTTGCTGTGGTGAACCCATCTCGAGCTGGACTCCGTGAGAAAATATGCTATTTATTTTCATCTTGAAAACAGAGGGTTTTTTTAATAAGTTCTGTGAGACCTGTTATACTGGCTCCAAACCCTCTGCTTGCTTAGTCTTTAGTTTCTTACCTTGCTGCTGACAGCAGCTAAAATCCCAGAGTCTGCTGTTTTCAGTGCCTTTATCATGCTTTCTCTTTAAAATAGACAGCTCTCATGTTTTCTCCACCTTTCATAGGCTCACAGAATTATGTAGGAGAGAAGGAGCCTCTGGAGGTGCAACCTCCCAAATAAAGCAAGGCCAACTTGAGAGTTCTATCAGGTTGTGCAGGGCTGTAAAGCCCTGCTGAGGTTTGAGTGTTTCCAAGGGTGGATACCCTCTCCTAAAAATGCATTCCCTAATGTGTTTAATGAGAATTTCCCCTTGCTGCAGTGCATCTGTTGCCTCTCATCCTCTTCTTGTGTCCTTCTGTGAAGATTCTGGCTCCATCTTCTCTGTAATTCCCCATGAGGCTCCTGAGGATAGCAAATGGGTCTCTGCTCACCTTCTCCCCACCTTCTCCCCAGGCTGAATAACCCCAGCCCTTGCACTCTCCTCGTGCATGCGGTGCCCCAGCCCTCTAGCTGTCTTAGTGGTATCCACTGGACTCACTCCAGTGTGTCCTGGGAAGTCCCAAACTGGTCCTGGTGCCCAGATGTGGTCTCACAAGTGTATGTGGAAGGTTTTACATGCCTCTGCTTAATTAAGTAACAATTTTTCTCTCATCCTTCACCCCCTGGGAAGCAGAGGGATTTCTTCCACTGTTCTGCTCTGCCAAGTTGGCGGAGCTGTTAGTAGTGTGGGTCACATCCCTGGCCTCCTAAGAGCCTGGATCTGAGATAGGACATGGCAAAATATGTATATTCTTCCCCCCCACCCCCTACCCTGCATTTTTGACAGTTCGGTGCAGTTCTGTGATGTTTGCTGTGGAGTCATTCCTTCTGGAGAGCTCACGGTGGTGGTGGGTCACTGGGAAAGCACGGTGTCTGTTTTTGCAGATTACAGGGTTGTGCGAGCCATCCGAAACTGCAAGTCCATCCGAAGGCTGCTCTACATCTCCTGCAAGCCAGAGGGCGAAGCCATGAGGAACTTTCTTGAGTGAGCACCCTCCTCTCTTCCTTTCCACCCACTTTAGTGACAGACCCTGTTATGTCCAGACAAGGACATAAATATCTGACCTTGGCTTTTAGGGAGGTTTTTGTTGTGACTGAATTTCCCTGGGGGAGTTCTGCAGGCGTGATCCAGGACTAGTCAGTGCATCATCAGAAGTGATTTCTCTGTTCCTTTGGGTTACCTGCAAGAGGCACTCACTGGTTAAAGGTAGTGGGTGCTCTTTGGGTTCTAGATTCCAGCAGGACGCTTTAGTGCATCAGTAAAGAATAGAAAATAAAGCAAACATGCTATAATTGCGTTATGCACCTTCCCCAACAAAACAGCATGTCTGGATGTGGGATATGGAGTCCACTGGGTTCACAGCAGGAAGGTTGGCCCCTGGTCAACGGAGTAAAGCCGAGGGGATTAATCACCTGCTTAGGGTTAATCATACAGCTAAGTCTTTATCTGCAGGTAACCAGTGAAGGTAGTGCAAAACTGAGGATTATTTCCTAAGGGTATTAAGTGTCTGTCAGCTGGGATGGGTTGTAAGAAAGGGAGCGTTAAACCTGCCACTGACTCTTCAGCTCATCTGTGGGGTTTCCAGAGCTGGGATTCAATATTTGGGATTCAATATTGATGGTTCCAGACCTCAGCCAGGGTCAGCTGCAGACTCTGAGGGATGGTAGCCAAACACGATGCCTCCTCAGGGCATCCTCCGTGCTTATTGTCCTCCCTACAATGGTGGGAAGGCTTCTGCTGCTGGTCTAAAGGATGCTCTGCCGTCCACAGGCTGTGCTGCCCACCTGACCCAGGGAAGAAGCTGGCAGGAGAGCCGTTTGCCCCCACGTTGGCTATACCTTTTGACATGTTTCCTCACACTGGTCACTGTGAGCTGGTGCTGCTGTTGACCCGCTGACAAGGAGGCAGGTGCGCCAGGTATACCTCCTGCTGTCCTCAGACTGGAGTCCATGTAGTTAAAATCCTAACTTATTTTCTTGAAGTTGTATAAAAATAAATAATTTTGCTTTTGCTCTTACTTCACGTTGCCTAACCACACTGTTCTGTAAGGAAACACTCGGGTTTCTGGGGTAAAAAGCTTCTCTGTGGCATTTTATCACCTTTTCCTCTCCTGCAAACCTCTTCTTGGGCTGCTGGTTAAAGCTGCCAGGAAAATACCCTCTCTCTTGTATTGTGGGTTTTCACCATCAACGTCTGAATACAAAATACTAAAATCCACTATATTTTCTACAGCTGACATGCCAGTAGTTCTCTGCTTGCTTCAAGGATATTTCAGGTGTTTTTCATGTTGATAGTGAACTTGCTACGAAGAAACCGTAGGAACTGGAAATCCCCATGCTCACTGGGAAAATAATGACTACTGGGGTCAGGGAAATATTTCCTGTATAAACTTCCAAACCCATTATTGAATTGCTGTCAGTCATGTGGATAAGTCCGAGACAATGAGAAAGATTTTTCCATAAAACAAAATGAAGAGAGAATTGAGTTCAGTCTCTTCTTCCATCTCTGCCTCCCTGTTCCCCCCTAATGCTTACTGATGCCTAAGTATGAAGTGCCCTGTGAAATTGTCAGCAGCAACAAGTTATTTCCTCACCAGGTTGCTCTGCAACAGCAAATTCAAAAATGTGGTGTGTTTTGTAGCTGTCTCACCACACTCACTGACTGGCTGTTCCATGTTCCATGAAGTTCTTTCCAGCTCTTCGAAATATGGAGCTGCTACAACCTGGAGGTAGGTCTGAGTGAGCAGTTCCCTTGTGTTTGGTGAACTCCACATTGTTTTGTGGGCTTCTTTTATTTTATTTTTTAATTTTTACTTTTATGTATTGAAATTACCTTTTGGTTTATCCTGGTCATCTGGGCCAGACGTAGCAGGACACGTTTCTACAGTCAGACTGTTAAATTCGACTCGATCTGTTCCCTATCTGATTTGGGTGACTCAAGGTTGATAAACTCCCAAGAAAACGGGGAGAGCTGCCTGTATTTTTCAGACTTTAAACTCCAGTCCCCAGGAACCCTGAGTTTGGAATAATAAGAACCACCACTAGTTCTCAAGCCATGGGGGCTTAAAATACATGGGTTTAGGACTTGAGACTTAATACACCAGAAAGAGAGATGATGGGGAGGTTCCTGACAGGCATGGGAAGTGTCACCCTCGTACCATCCCAGGCGTGTAAGATTTTTGCACACTGTTACAGCCTTTGTTTTCAGTTTATAGCAAGGAGTGCAGTTTTCCAGCAGTTCTGTTTTGTATAATTATACCTTTGCTTCTCGCTGCAAGATCTGAATGGATTTCTGCTTGGGCTATGTTTTTGTCAAAATGAAATTTGTGGCAAATTAGAGGGGGAGAGATAATGGCATTAAATCAAAAAGTAATAGGGGATCAGGAAACCTTTCCATTAGGTTCTGGAGAGCTGAACATACAGACAGGTTTTATCTGCAATAGGGGAGGGTGACACAGTGGCCTTTTGGGCATCAGGTTCCAGGATAGACTTCTTTTTTTTTGCTTTTCTGGAGCAAATATATTACGCAATGTTTTGTTTGCTGTGTATTAGTGTCTGAGCATCCGAAACGGAAAGCTGCCTATGTACAAGACCTCCAACCACTTTTCCTGCGTAGCAGGTTACCCCTGTGCTCTCTGCCAACATATTGCATCCTTATTACAGCAGCTTTCCAGTACCTAAAGGGGCTACAGGAGACATGGGGAGGGACTCTATCAGGGAGTGGAGTGACAGGACAAGGGGTGATGGTTTTAAACTGAAAGAGGGAAGATTTAGATTAGATATCAGGAAGAAATACTTTACTGTGAGGGTGGTGAGACACTGAAACACGTTGCCCAGGGAAGCTGTGGCTGCCCCATCCCTGGAGGGGTTCAAGGCCAGGCTGGATGGGGCTTTGAGCAACCTGCTCTGGTGGGAGGTGTCCCTGCCCATGGCACAGGGGGTCGGAACAAGAAGATCTTTAAGGTCCCTTCCAACCCAAACCATTTTATGATTCTTTGTCCTCGTTTTCCCACCGTGCTGTGCGTTTGGCTGCCATCCCACGTCCCTCGAACTGGCTGGGCTTTGGCTTTCTGCGGGTAATTTATGGATTGTACAAGGAAAGAGAGGACGGTTTAGTGGCAGGAGGGGTGGGAAGGCTCAGGGCTGGGCACAGGGCTGCCTGGCTCTGGCTCATGGCTGCTGGGCATTAGGACCCAGCGGCCGCTGAGCGGAGGAGGCTGAATTCCCCCCCTCGCCTCCCCCCCTCTCCCGCTGTCATCCTCACAGCCTCTGCAGCTTTATTCCTCATCTCCTTCAATGGTGACTGACTACCTCCCGCCCGGGCTGGCAGCCAGAGCCAGAAGGCCTCGCTAGGACCGGTTGCCAGGACCGGTTGCCGGCGGCTCGCTCCATCCATGGCATCTCCCAGGACTATCACCATCGTCGCCCTCTCGGTGGCCTTGGGGCTCTTCTTCGTCTTTATGGGGACCATCAAACTGACCCCTCGGCTCAGCAGAGATGCCTACAACGAGATGGTGAGTGCGGCGGTGGGAGGGAGAGGCGTTAGGGGGGGTCTCTCCCCTCAACCCTGTGGCAGGAGCGGCGTTTGCAGTGGGGTACACGGAGCCCCGAGCGATGGGAGGGAGAGGGAAGCAGCTTATCTGTCTCCTCGTTTGATGGACATGGAGAGAAACAAATAATACACAGTGCCGAGGATATTTTATATATATTATATATAGAGGGGCTCCCTCTGAGCCTTTCCATGGAGGATATCCTCTTGGGGATAAGGATGGGGAGAGGAGGCAAGGGGGGACGGGGTAGCACAGCACAGCGACGCCGGCAAAAAGATGGGGGGGCACATAAGAGGCTCTGAAAAGCAAGGTCTGAAGAAGTGCCAGACACGTAGCAGGCAGGTACAGCAGATCCCTGGGAGAATAACCTGCCCCCTGGACCAGGGGTAGGAAAAGCAGACGCCGCCTTCAGCAGCCAGATGAATCCTCAGAATTCCGTGCTTTAAAGCAAGGATAATGACACTGACTGTCCCCACCTCACCAGACTTGTGTGTGGGGATTAATTGATGGCCGTGAAATGCTTTGAGATTCCTAGCTGGCAGAAGAAGGTATTATTAATAGTCACCTTATTAGTCTCTTTTGCCTGGGAAATGAGCCTCTGCTCCTCTTGCCTGACGGGAGAGGGGTGAGGAGAGGATGGAGAAGGCTCTGTGGGCATTTCTCAGCTGGTGAGCCATTTCTGCTCCTCTCTGCCCAGGGCCAACCCTGCTGCAGAGCTGTGCTATCTGTGAGCTCCCACCTTTTGCTTCCTTGTCTATGTTTATTTATTCTCCTGCCACCCTCCCTCCCACCCCTTTATATTTATTGCAGTGGCTGAAAAGCGTTGGTATAATTTTTGTGCCCCTTAAAAAAAAAAAAAACAAACAACAAACCAGTGCTGGAAGTTTCCAGCACATTCTGTTCTCTCCCTTTGCTCCACCTGCCCAGCTGCTTTTCCTTAGCTCTCAAATAACATCTGAATGGCAGTGCTCAGCACAGGGATCTTGCAGAAAAGAATCACCAAGAGGTAGCTCAGGAGCAAAAGACTGAGATAAAGTGCCCGGGAAAAAAAAGCTCTTAAGCTTCTGCTACATAAGGGACAGAAAAAATATCCCTGGGACTTTAGAAACATTGCAAAATCCTTGCTCTAAAATATTTCGCTTCTCTGTCCCTTTTTGCTTTACCAAAAGTCAGGCCTACAGGTAGGAAGGATCCCTGTTTTTACAAAAAGAAAGAGGCACTCAGGTATTACACAGCACCGTTGGACTTAACAGCCCGTATCGTAACATGTTCGTGCTCATTAGGCTTTCCTGCTTTCGCTGTGCTGCACCAGGGTGCTCTGTCACAGACAGACAGACAGCTAATGAAAACCTGATCTGGCCCATTAACGGAGACAGCTAATGAAAACCTGATCTGGCCCATCCATAAGCCCCCAGCAAATAGAGAACCTTTTGTTATAAACCTACAACACCAAACTTGCAGTTTTTCATTCAGCAAAGAACAGACACACTAGTTTGTCCATTAAAATACTTTAAATACCGGAGTAGTCTAGGACACGCTGATAGTACATTTATTTATAAAGCTGTATTTTTCACAACTGTTTAAAAATATTCTGGTCTGAGGAGAGGTTTGTTCCCTGAAGGTTTAAAATTTATCCTTATAATGCATACACTTAGGGTAAATGTGTCATGAGACCTTCAGTTATTTGGTAGCAAAAATGTCAATGCCGTATATTTTCCACATGTGAAGTATCAGCTTCTCTTAGAAGGAAGTAGCAAAATTGACAGAGAAGTGGGGAAGCTCTAGCTGCCTGTACTGCAGGTTTCCAAAATCACAGGGAAGTAAATCTACAACCTGATCAGCATCTGTGAGAGCCGAGCAACTCCTTAACTGAGATTTGGCTTCCATTTCCCTCTCCCTGATCAGAAAGCAGAGAACACAACGGCAAGAATACCTGCAGGGGTAGTATAACCAGTGTAAATGGAAACAGTTTCAGTGTCTTCAATAACTAGGAGCTTTATTAAAATATAAAAAAGGAGGAAATAATTGATTGAAAAAGAAAAAAACAAAATAAGCCCATGAGCACCTGAATGTTCAAATGGAAGAACCTGAACGCGTGTAAGGACAGAGGTTGTTTCTTCCCTGAGACAATGAGGCCGAGTCCTGCCGCGTTACACTGCTGCTGAATCCAGCACGAACCAGGCAGCAGAGGATGTCAAATGTCAGCTTGCTTTCACCCAAGGAAAGGAAGGATCATAAAGGTATGTAAGCACAGGCTGGGGCTGGTGAATCCCAGCTTTGGTTTACAGTCCCATGCACTGCCAGTAGACACTGGGACAGTGTAAGCTGCTTTGAGGTAGAAGGAGACCTCTGTTTTCACTTGCTGTGCCTTGGCTTTGCAGGGACAAGGTGTGTTTTTTAATTATAAAGGATGAGCTACTCTTAGAGAGGTACTTTTTTTTTAACACAGTTCTGCATTGCTAATTCTAGCAATGGTAACTTCAGGTTTCAGGAGAAGGTACACCTGGCCTGGTCCTAGCTCAAAAGGTTGGTGGGTGCTGGGTTGCAGAACTGTTTTCCAGTGAGAAGACAACAGCTTACAAAGGGGGGATTGCAGGTTGACAGTGTTAATATCCCTCCAAGAGAAGCTGTAGGGGTATAGATGGTGCCAGAGGGGTCTGTGATGATTGAGGGGATCTTTCCTCCCAGCTCTGAGGAAAAAGACCTGGGAGTCCTGGTGGACAATAGGATGACCATGAGACAGCAGTGTGCCCTTGTCACCAAGAAGGCCAATGGCATCCTGGGGTGCATCAGGAAGAGTGTGACCAGCAGGTTATGGGAGGTCATCCTGCCCCTCTGCTCTGCCCTGGGGAGGCCCCATCTGGAGCACTGGGACCAGTTCTGGGCTCCCCAGTTCAAGGACAAGGAACTGCTGGAGAGGGTACAGCAAAGGGCTACAAAGATGATGAGGGGCCTGGAGCATCTCTCTTATGAGGAGAGGCTGAGGGACTTGGGTCTTTTTAGTCTGGAGAACAGCAGACTGAGGGGGGATCTGCTCAACACCTATAAATACTTAAAGGGAGGGTGTCGAGAGGATGGAGCCAGTCTTTTTCAGTGGTGCCCAGTGACAGGACAAGAGGAAATGGAAACGAACTGGAACATCAGAAGTTCCACCTAAACATGAGGAGGAACTTCTTTCCTTTGAGGTTGGCAGAGCCCTGGAAGAGGCTGCCCAGAAAGGTGGTGGAGTCTCCATCTCTGGAGACATTCAGAACCCACCTGGACATGTTCCTGTGCAACCTGCTCTGGGTGGACCTGCTGTGGCAGGGGGGTTGGACTAGACACCAGTCTATTTCAGCAGAAGACACTTTTGCCTTTACTTTCTCACATTATGGTGTTCTATGCTGTCACTGCTTGGTTTCAGAAACGAGCATACAAAAGCTACGTGCGGGCCCTCCCCATGCTAAAGAAGATGGGAGTCAGCTCCATCCTCCTCCGCAAGAGCATCGGCGCCCTCGAAGTGGCGTGTGGCATTGTCATGACACTGGTGCCCGGTCGCCCCAAAGACGTGGCCAACTTTCTCCTCCTCCTCCTCGTGCTGGCTGTGCTCTTCTTCCACCAGCTAGTTGGGGATCCGCTCAAGCGTTACGCCCACGCCTTGGTCTTTGGGATCCTGCTTACCTGTCGCCTCCTGATTGCCCGCCAGCCGGAGGAGCAGCCACCAGAAAAGAGGATGCTGTCGGTGAACGGGGAGGAGCAGCCACTCATCCACGAAGCAGCTCCTGAGAAAGGCAAAATGAAGGTATCCTAGTTGAGCGCGCGTCAGAAATTACGGACCCTCGAGGCAGCTCTCTCCAAAATCACCCAGAAAATTTGTTGGTTTTGGTTTGTTTGTTGTTTTTTTTTTTGTTTTTTTTTTTAAAAAATTACCTATTTATATTTTTTTTGTCTGTCTAAAAAGATCATCTCTTGGGGTCTGAGAGACATGTGATATGTCTACACTGTAGTCTTGCTTTATGCTGCTGCCCTGTCATGTAGAAAAATATCAGCTCGCTTTCACCGGGAGGGCCAGGAGGCAGTTACCAGCCTGGCTGGAGTAGCAGGAGCTGCAAAACCAGCCCGAGAGCACGGGCAAAAACTGGGGCAGGGGCTCACGCTGACCCTCACTGCTGCAGGGGGAGGTTGGTCCATGAGCATCAGCCCCCGTGGCAGTGGAAACCTCCCCTGGATGCACTTCTGCTACGTGGCAGCATCGGCAACAGCGGCTGGGTGGAACATAACCAGTGTCCCCGTGCTGCCTTCTGCGGCCCCAGCCACCAATCTGCCTTCCCTTTTCCATAGGCAAGGGGGGAAAGGACCCTTCTGAGCATAAAAAGTGCTGTTTGTGGTGTCTGGGAGAGGGATCCCTCTGCTGCCTCTGTGCCCAATCCTTTCTTTGGACCCATTATCCAGGAAAAACATGGGATGCACTATTTGCATCCTCCTCAATTTCCACACTTTGCAGAGGCTCTAAAACTGGGACTATGGCCCCATAACTGTAATTTTTTGCCCGCTTCACACGAGGAAATGGCATCTCTTCACTCCTCTTGGCAGAAAGTAAGGATCCCTGGTGAGGGGATGGGGAGCAGAACTGCCCAAAGAACTCCAAAATATCTGTCTGCTGCTGGCAAATAGCATCATGCTCCCTATTTCCTTGCAAGAAAAAAATTTTCCCTTTTTCCACAACTATTGCAACTTTATAGAATTGTCGGTTATAGATAGATGAGGGTCTGAATGCGTCCAAGTACCTCACTTCATCCCACATACAGCTTCTGTGAGCCGGGGGGAGTCCTGTCACCAGAGCCTGAATCCCTGCGTGATGTATCTGAAACCTTACAGAGTGTTATAAGAAGCATGTGTTTCCTCTGAGTTTGTTTGTTTTTCTTGATGTTTGTCTGTTTTCAGTTTTTCCTTATTTTCTTAATTATTCATGAAAATAAACTTTTTGAAATTTGGAGAAAACTGTCTTGACAGAAACAAATTTCTTTTTGAGAGACACACCTGAAAGCATTTTTCTTGTGTTCAAACACTGCACCTAAAATGGGCAGAATCGTGTCAGGGGAATTTCAAAGACAAGGTGAGGCAGGATGGAAGCCATCAGAACACTACTGGACTAGACATTAATAACCACGGGCATTTAAAAGAGATGTCTGAACATTTTCGTGAAACTCTCGGATAAATTTCTGTTTCAGCACAATGTGGCAGCGAGAAAAGATATTAAAACTCCAAAAAAATGTCAGTATTATACCTCTAGAAAAACTGATGACGGATGTTCATATGCAGTTTATCCAGTTTGTTCTTATGTTGTTTGCTGCTGAAACAGATGGAGCCCCAAAAATCCTCCTTTCAGGAGCCCCTGAAAAATCCTCCTCCTAAAGCCCCAAAATGCAGCATGAACAAGGAAACTACCAACAGGCCACCTTAGACAATCTCTCATCTTTAGAGACTACCTCAAGGTCATCCCAAATGTATACAGAATGTGCTTTATTTCCTGAAAGACACTTCATCTACCATGCCCTGACTGGGGCTATTAATCACTTTTAAATTCAAAACTAAACAAAAATGCCACCAACTCAAAACCACCACCGTGATGCGTATTCCTACACAAAGTACTCACAACTGAATTCTTGCAGCCTTTTGGCCAGCTGCCCCTCATGTGTGCATCTAACTTGGTAGATTTTTTGGAAACAAGAGTTTGTGTTTGTCATTTGTGATGTTTTTCACCATAGATGCCATAATAATAAATGTAAAATATTCTTGTCATTTGTGATGTTTTTCACCAAAACCTGTATAGATGCCATAATAATAAATGTAAAATATTCCGCATAGGACGCTCATCCCTACAAAAAGACTGTAAATGAATTCTGAAAAACGTCCCCTTCTTTTCAGATTTGTAGCAGTATGAATTGCTGATCTGCAGTACTGGCCACATATTCTTTATTACAGAGGAAGACAAAGACTCTTCCTGGAGTCCAATAACTAGAATTCTGTACTTATCTATATTGGGTTGACCTCCATCATCACCTCCCAGCACGAGCAGACTATTTTTGGAAGCTACGAGTCATCTTTGCTTGCTCGAGGTGATAAGGTGACAAGAACTGATTTAGTTCTTTTGTAGGACCACAATGTTAATTTATTCTTCCTGTCTTTTTTTTTTTTAAATTTATTTCCCATGCCCTTTTCTTACTTCTTCTTCTCTCCAAGCCCATTAATTCCATTCCTGCCATTCTCATCCGATTGCTGCTGTCGCAGGCACCTGCTGCTGCTGGTTCCTCAGGACTGCAGCTCGCTGGGGCGGTGAAGGTTTCATAGAATCATGGAGTGATAGAATGGATAGAATGCTTTGGGTTGGAAGGGACCTTAAAGATCATCTTGTTCCAACCCCCTGTGCCATGGGCAGGGACATCTCCCACGAGACCAGATTGCTCTAAGCCCCATCCAGCCTGGCCTTGAACCCCTCCAGGGATGGGGCAGCCACAACTTCTCTGGGCAACCTGTTCCAGTGTCTCATCACCCTCACAGTGAAAAATTTCTTCCTAGTAATCTAGTAATTCCTAGTAATCTAAACCTCCCCTCTTTCAGTTTAAAACTGTTACCCCTCATCGTATTCCTCCACTCCCCAGCTTTCCTGTAGCCCCCTTTATGCGCTGAAAGGGGCTATAGGGTCTCCCCAGAGCCTTCTCTTCTCCAGGCTGAACAACACCAACTCTCCCAGCCTGTCCTCACAGCAGAGGGACTCCAGCCCTCTGATCATCTTCGTGGTCCTTCTCTGGACTCCCTCCAAGAGGTCTCTGTTGTTCTTGTACTGGGGACCCCAAAGCTGGACACAGTGCTCCAGGTGGGGATCTCTTGAGAGCGGAGTAGAGGGGCAGAATCACCTCCCTTGACCCACTGGCCACACTTCTTTGGATCCAGCCCAGGATGCGGTTGACTTTCTGGGTTGCCAGCACACGTTGTTGGCTCATGTTGAGCCTCTCATCCACAGGCACCCCCAGATCCTTCTCCTCAGGGCTGCTCTCCATCCACTCTCTGCCCAGCCTGCGTTTGTGCTTGGGGCTGCCTGTGACCCTGGAGCAGGCCCCTGCACTTGGCCTTGTCGGCACTCCGTGAGGTTTCTCTGAGGAGAGGTGCCCAGCTGCGGCCTACCCGAGTGAGGGCCCCTCACCACCGCCGCACAGGCCTCACCTGCGCACCTCGGCCCGGCTGGCAGGATAGGGACGGAAAGCCCCACCGCGGACCCTTGGCCCTGCCCGGTTGCCACCCGGTTTGCCCGCCCCCGCGCCCGCAGGCCACAGCCAGACCGCGCATGCCCAGCACCGCCCGGGACGGGGCGGAAGGGCCGCCGCCGCCGCCGCCGCTCCCGGCCTCAGGGCCTTGCGCATGCGCGGGAGGAGGCGGCGGCGCGGCGGACACTGCGCATGCGCGGGAGGTGGCGCCGGGGTTTGAACTGCGGGCGGTTGGAGCTGGCCTTGGCGGAAGGTAACTCCGGCGGCGGGGCCCGGGCGGTGGAGAGACCCTTGCTGCTGCCACTCTGCGGGTCCTAGAGCTGGTAAGGGTAGGCCCGGTGGTGGAGCTAGGCCCGGGCCTGGCGGTGTGGTTAGGCCCGGTGGTGGGGCCAGGCCCGGGCCCGACGGTGGGGCCTGTTCGGGAGGGGCTCGGCCCCCTCCCTTCCCTCAGGGCCGCTCCCCGCGCCGGGCGGTCAGAGCTCTGCGGGGGCTGGAGGGAGAGGGGCTTGCATACGTCGGGTGGGGAGGAGGGAAGGGATGTCCGTGCCCGGTGTCCGTGTGGAAGTGCCTGGTACTGAAGAGCTGTGGGATGGGGGGGTCGCTGTCGGGAAGAAGGGGGTGTTTCGGCCCCCTCAGTTAGTTCTGCTTTCTTCTTCACCAAACCTTTCTGGCAGAACTCCTGCAAGGCAAAGGGAGTAAAACCCAGGTAGAGCAGGTGTGAAGGAATCTGTGAGAAGGCTGTTGTTTTACTCCAGACTGTGGTAACTGAAGGCTGTCAGCTCAATCTAAAGAAAGGCTGCAGGAGAATGTTAGTTTTTTTTGGTAAAATTGGAAAACAAGTGTTGTTATGATCCTCTAAAGTCTGTGCATTACCTTGCAAGAAGTCATGACCTCTTGACTGATGGCATTGTTGTACACAGTACAAGTAATGAAACTGATGATGCACAAAATAAACTCAGAAGAAAATTGTGGATTGTCTTTTGCTGACTTTCTGGTTATGTTAATTTAGGACCAAAATACTATATGAATTTTATCAGGTAAATTTTAAATTGAAAGGAGTTTGTGCTAATTTTTACTTGTGGGTTTTTTCTGTTTTTTCATGAAAGAAAGAATGGAGTTTTGATACACTGTTGTCTGTGCATCTTCTGAGTATATTTTCTGATCTTTTGGAGGGCAGGTGGCTCGAAATGATTTTCTCTGAAATTACTCTGTTACGTTATGAAGGATCCCTCTAAAACATTTTTGTCAGGAAAATATATCTTTCTTTCTTTGCAGGGAACGGGCTCTTTGATGTTCTTCAACCATTGAAGGTTGATCTATTTTTTTGCCTCTTCATAATGAAGGATTGGAACCCACATGACATATAAGTAAAACTCTCCGGTCTCAGCTGGGACTCTGAAAAGATGGAGCGAAGACAGAAATCTGAGACCCCAAAGCAGCAAGTTCGTCAGAAAAATCAAACTGATCTCTCTGCATGGCGTAAAGGAAAGAAAAGTGACCCTGAAAAAAGTGTCCAGAGTCGTCAGTCTCCTAATGACCAGGAAGATGAGAGCAAGCAAGACTCCCTTGAGGAAGCTTTGAGTTACTTTGACAAAGGTAAGAGCAGTTTTAAGGTTACCAACTTGGGATTGGAAATATAATAACTAAATTCTTAATAATAATTTTAAATGTATCTAATTTTAGCTGCTGTTTTCCCTCTTTAATGCCTAAGCTTTGTAATATTTTTTTAATGTCTTAGAAGGTTTTCCCCTTCCTGTTACTATGTAAAGAACCCAACAAAAAGGAATAGATCTCAGGACAGATCAGTTTAAACCAGTTCATCTGCAGTTCGGAAGTTTTCATCCATGTCTTTTTTTTTTTTTTTTTCATTTTCCTAGTTCAAGACCGTGTTTCACTGAAAAAGAACAGTGCTCTACAGAAACACTTGACTACTGTGGAAAGCATTGCCCTGGAAAAGGGGTTACCCCCTGAAGGATTTAATGTACTGCTAAAAGTGGCACTCAGTGCCAAACTCGGTAAAATGTTTATATACTGCTAGTGTGTCTTCTGTGAATGTCTCTTTCCCCTCTAATCAAGCCTGCTCAAGATAATGTCTTTACGGTGACTGTATTGATAGGTACTTTAGTGTAAAGTTAATTTTTCTGGCATGCTGCCGTGTAATTTCTGAGTTCATGCCAAAAATAACCTCCGTTCTTGCTACAGGAGAGTGATACCCAGAAAAATATTATGGCTTGTTACAAATATGTTTTGAAAAGCTTATTTCCTTTGTTTGTAATTGCAAGTTTCTGAAAGACTCCGTGTGTGTCCTTAGCAACCATGTGTCTCTTCCTTGTTGTAACTGTTTGTGTAGGATTCTTTTGCCCAAGATCAAAATAACTGAACAAACAGACATAGTTGCATTAGTGAAACTTGCTAAAATTAAGATATCATCCTAATAAGCAATTCGGCAGTGTCAGTGCAGCTCTCACGCTGCTTTCTTGGAAATGATGGCCATTGTTTATACTTTGAAATAATGAAATATTCAATGAAACAAGCCCTAAACTTTCCCCTCCCTCGAGCACAAAGGATTCTTTCCCCATTATGCAAGTAGTTTAGGGCTTTTCTTGATTGAAAATTACTAGCTTCTCTCATGAGCAGTAACCTGCTGATGTCTCGCTGACAGTCATGTACTCCTTTGCTGAAGTAATTGGTTGTTTAATGATACCAGGAATTTGTGTTATTTTCGGTTGTCTTGGCAAGAGTCTAAACACTATTTCAGTACTAAAATACTCGATATTCCATTTTCTTAAAGCTGGAAAGAAATGTTTCTCAAAATTTTTTGAGGTATAGGTCGGTCCCTCCTAGATTCTTGTGCATAATTACTTTAAGCAAGGAAGCTCTGAATAATCTTGTGCAGGGGGAATTTTGACCTAAGCTGCAATACCATATCAAATAACCTGGTACATGAGCAACATCTTATTTTAAAATGTTTGTTTTCCAGCTGATACAGTGAATACTCGTTTACTGAAGAGCCTTGTTCCAGCCTCAGTAATACCAGAAGATTCTGTGGTTTCATCTGTGTCTTTGCTCTGTGCCAGCAAATGTTCAGCCAGCACCCAGGTAACTTAAGAAATGTTTACAGCAGTTACTTCTGTGCGGGGAATGATGATGAGAGATTATTTTCAGGAAGCACAAGTCCTGAGGCTTTAATGTACAAGGTTCTTGCATAAGATACTGTCACTTAGAGGGGCATAGACACCCATTGCTGAGCAGCTGTGAGAATTGAGGAACATTTTTGAAGCGCGAGTGGAAATTTGCAGTTTCTGCTTGTCTTGTGTCTCTGAATTCCTTTAGGAATGGTTTCTCCACCAACTTTTCTGTGAAATGCTTCAGCTATGAGGCATTGTTCACCATCTTCAGCAAGGTATCCCTTAGGTTCTGTGTGCCTTGGCTGTGGCAACGTGACTTAAAATTAGCAAAGCAGTCTTTTTCATCTTCACATAGTCTGCTCAAAGGTTTACATCATGGAGTCGTTTAGGTTGAAAGAGTCCCTTAAGATCAAGTCCAACCATTAGCCTAGCAGTGTCCAGTCCACCGCTAAACCATGACCCCCAGCACAACTTTTAAATGTCTTTTAAAGACCTCCAGGGGGTGGTGACTCAACCATGTCCCTGGGCAGCCTGTTCCAATGCTTGACAACCCTTTCTATGAAGAAATTTTTCCTAATATCTGACCTAAACCTCCCCTGGCACAACCTGAGGCTGTTTCTTTTTGTCCTGCCACTTCTTACCTTGGTGAAGAGATTGATCCCTCACCTTGCTATGCCCTCCTTTCAGGTAGTTGTAGACAGTGAGAAAGTCTCCCCTCAGGCTCCTTTTCTTCAGGCTGAACACCCCCAGCTCCCTCAGCTGCCCCTCATAAGGCTTGTTCTCCAGCCCCCTCACCAGCTCTGTTGCCCTTCCCTGGACCCGATCCAGCACCTCAGTGTCTTTCCTGTAGTGAGGGGCACATATTGAGAACTGAGCTGCTTTTTCCCTCTCTGACATGGCAGTTGTTGTTCTTAACAGGCTTTCTTCTGTGGCTGAATTATCCCTGTACTGTTCATCTGTAGCTATCTGGTTGTCTTTGAGAGTGGTGTGTCTTTTAAGTTGGCTTTTTCCCTATCACTTAATGTCATATGATCTTTTTCTGATCTGCAGCTGCTTTTTTTGAAATGGCTGATCACGATGTTTGACTTCATTGATCACAAGGAAAAACTTCATGCCCTCTATGGTTTCTTTTTTTACTTCCTGCAAGATGAGAAGATGGTAAGGAGAGCTGAAGAATCAATACAAATTGACAAAAACATGCCTAAATGTTCATTAGTAGTATGCATATTAATGCTGGAATTAGTCTGGAATAGCTGATGGTTAGAGACCATTTTCTGCTGGTTGGAATTTATTTTCTTTTTTTTCATTTTGCATTATCATTGCTGGGTAATTTAGAGTCAGAAACAGGAAAGTACTGCAGGATTATTTTAGTTTCAGTGCTGTGGTCTGGTGGTTTAACTGTGTTTCCCAGAATTACTATTCTGTGTCATGAGCAGTGACAGTACATTCTGTCTAAATTCCCGAGAGTAACTATGACACCGCAGTCGAGCAGAGTGACAGTATATTCTGTCTAAATTCCCGAGAGTAACTATGACACCGCAGTCTCTGGGATTGCCTTTGATGTCAGGCATCAGCAGGTGAAGTCTCCTGCTCCTGGGGAGAGAAACTGACTTGCATACCTTGGGCAAAAAGGAAAAAAAAAAACCACACAACCTTTTAGAGCAATGTTTATTTAAAGGGAAACTCTAAGTGCTGTTAATTAATTTGAAAATGTAGCTAAAATGAGAACAAGCAATCAGGAGATGTCTGCTATTTGGCAGCTATAAAATCCAGGTGCTGGAATATGGAAGTGTTTGGATTCAGTTCACGTTAAGATCGTCTTGGCAGTCATGTCGGATATAGAATTGTTAATATTCTTTCAGTTTAGGATATTTTGTGGCTAAGAATTTTAAAGTTCAAAGGCTCTGCTTTATATTTCTTGCAAAGTTTTTAATGGTTTCAGATTAACATTAGTTATAATCTTTTCGTAAAACTGGATTTAAGTTCTTACTGTTTAAAAGAGCATCTTCAGGCACGATGGACCAATTGGAAAGTTTAGCAGAGTTGGTGTGGAACTAATTTAAGACTCTTACAGTCTCAACTGTAGTTAGAAGCATGAACAAATTAGTTTGATTCAAAGGTGCCTTTCTTTTTGAAAATGTAATTGTGCTTTCACTGCTGACTACTGAAATGTCTAGACCACGTTCCAGAAAACAAGATCCAAGCTCACTAAATAGCTTGATTACTGCTTGATTATAGGGACTGCTCATAGTGCAGATAATATTTTTAAATAAAATGGATATATGTGAGGTGTAAAGAACATGCTACTTCCCAAGGGACATAAGGTTTTCTCTGCTGCAGTGGGGATGCAGTGATGGCTTGAGGCAGCCAACTGAATGAAACAATATAAGCTTGTGAAGCCTGTGTGCTGCTTTTAGTGTATCCTGATTACCAATCTGCACCAGCAGGAAAATTAATTGCTGCCTTCTTCTTTGCAGTGCCCCTATGTCTGTCACGTGCTCTACCTGCTGACCAGGAAAGAAAGTGGTGAGTCTATCCAGTTGTATGAAATGGAATACCATTTTGTGTCTTATTCTCTTTGCTGGTGCTGCCTTTTCTTCCGACGGAGCTAATACAATGATTAGCCAATATATTGCTTTTAAGGCAAGGAACCACGAGTGGTAGTTCTAGCTAATAGCCTAGAAATAAGACTGACTGATTCTGCTTGCCTTGCCATGACTTTCTGTAATAAAAGTGGTATTGCATTTTTGCTTAAATGTCTGATACAGTGGTTTCTAAATCCATTATGTACTTAATTGCTTTTTTCAGTTAAGCCTTTTCGGGTTAGAAAACTGCTTGACCTCCAAGCAAAAATGGTGAGTTGATTTCAAATCTTGTAGAGGTTTAACTGTGGTTAATAATGCAGTTTGTAAAGCTAATGTCCTTACAGGGTGGAAAAGTGCAGTTAGTGTCTCAGGACAGGGTTAGCCTTGGAATTGTAGGTTGTAATCTTTGTAGCATCAGGGCTTGTTCATGTTGCAAGTGCATTCCTAATTTTTACTTGTGTTTTGGGAGCATATGCAATGATGTGCCCAAAGCTGTATGTTGGGGTGAAATCTCTGAAGCAAGGTGCAGCTTCATTTATCTATTACCATCTTTAATTTTCTGTTCATCTTTCTTTTTCAAGCGGTATTCAGAAATGACTGACAAATATAAGATTGTAGAGGATCTTGCTGCCTTTTTTGTAAGAAAAACTGTTACTATAATAACATGTTTTTGGAGGATTTAGACAGCAGATAACTATTTTTATTAGTTTTGATTGTTAAATTTTTTTAGAATTATGGCTACAGAAAGTTTCTTCTTCAATCCCCTTCCTCCTGTATTTCATTGACACAGTTTCTTTTGTTTCTTTTTTTCCTTTAACTTTCATTTTTTTCACCTATGGTTACTTACTGACATGTAGCTTTAGAAAGTTTTTATTAACCACTGTTTTTTTTTTTTCTTCTAGAATACAGTATTCAGTTTCTATATTAAAAATATACCCCACATGTTTTTTCTCTTGTTCTGCTATTTGACAGGGAATGCAGTCTCATCTGCAGGCTCTACTATCACTTTACAAACTCTTCTGTCCCGAGTTGGTGACCATAGCCCTTCCTGGGAAAATGAAGGTAAAGAATTACATCTAATCTATTTGGAAGCAGTACTCACAACAGTATTTGTATTGAGATTTCCATTTAAGCTGTAGCGTGATTTAGTGCTGAAGATTAATTCTATTTCCTCTTTTCATTGATTGAAATCAGGTTTAGAGGAGGATTCCTTGCCTTGTGTTTTGTTTTCTCTTCAGTACAATGAGATAATTTGGACTGTAATGAGGATTACTTAAATCCTCCTTTTGGTGTTCTTGCTGGTTTTGACTTGTTTCACACAATGTTACGTTCTTCAGGAAACAAACTGTCTTATCTGTACATGGCATTGTCCAAATCTCTGACTTTCTCAAGTACAAATGACAAAAGAAGATAGTAACTTCCCACTTGGAAAGTCTATGTCATAGGAAAGGGGGGGGGGGAAAAAGGGGGGGAAAAAAGGTTGTACATGGCATTGTCCAAAAAATACATCTTCTATTTAGTGAAGCCTGTATGTGTGCTTAGCCCTTTAACCAATTAGGTTATATGAAAAATGGGATAAGGTGTTTTGCCAGAGTCTCAAGGTAACAGCAAAAAAATACATCTTCTCTTTTAGTGAAGCCTGTATGTATGCTTAGCCCTTTAACCAATTAGGTTATATGTAGCTGAAACTGGGTATGTAACAGTAAGTAGGAGCAGGTGAGACATAAATTCTGCAACAAATTTTCTTTTGGTACTTCAAAGGGATAGATTTAGGGTTTGAGTTTGTTTTTTAGAGGCGGCATTTAATTTACGTTAGCAAGTTGTGTTCTTATAAAAGAAAATTTGTTTTATTTCAATCTGCTTGTGTATTTACATTGCTCTATAAATTTCTACATTGCATTGTGCTGCACAACAGTCGTCTGTTGGAAAATTTATGGGTTTTGGCATGCACAGAAGTGAAGTAAATAACTAGCAACTAAACCCCAAATACATCTTCAACTGTTTTTATGAATACTTGTACAATAAAAGCTTGATTACCTAGACCCAAACCTATCTGAATACTTTTGTGATTGTTTGGCACTTGATTAGGATTTAAAGACTGATTGCAGTTGAATTGACAATAAATAAGTTTTGTGCAGAAAGATGTTGGGTTTGTTTTTCCAGTTTTCTTTTTAGCTGTAGTATCTGCGTTAACTTGAGAATTGGATTACTTATTGAATTGTTCTGTTTGGCAGATATCACTGATGCTGAATTCGGGAAGCTTTTCTCCTAGTAACTTGCATAACTGTACCTCGGTCATGTTTCATTTTAATGTTTACTTGAGATTTATTCCCTGAATTGATGGTTGATCAGAATGAGGATTATAAATCAGAAGTGTTGGAGATCTCTTCTGAAAATGGGGACATCATTTCAGAAGGAAATAAAAGCATAACTGTTGAACTATGATCAAAAAGTAATGAAATTGAGGAATGAGGAGAGTTCTGTGCTGGGAACACCTAACCTCGTGGTCTGTCAAGCAGAGTCAAGTGTATATACATCACTGTGGTGACGTTTTTCAGAGTAGAAACTGATCTTTCTGTCACTTAGTTGTAGACAAACTTAGTTTATCTTTTTGCATAGATGTCTGATTTATGTTTTCAGACTTACTTCAAGAATTCAGAGGGCCCATGGAAGGCAGCAATCAACGCAATGAGGCAAAGAAACCAGGAAAACTCTCCAGTGTTGAAGCCACTGGCTTTAGGCACAGCTCAACCTCAGTCACGAAAAAGGGTAAGTCCTATACCTAAGGTAGTCCCTAGAAGGTGCAAATAAATGGAAGTCAGGCTTTATTTCAGCAAGGGAAAGGTGGAGCAGCTATATAGAAATGCAGCATTCCTATAATAACAAAAGCCAGGATACTTTTTTCGCAAAGCAGGGTCTTTGTGGGAATATTGGTCACAAGTGCACTTGATTGCATTGTAAACTGAGTCATTGCTATTCATTTGTGTTTCTTTTCTACAGAAATGGAATACCCAGGTGCATATACCCGCAAGCAGTGCAAACAGGAGTAATTTAGAAGAGGACAGAGAAGATAAGCTTGTTAATTTGTACAGTGTGGATGAGTTTTTTCCAGTGGAGCAACTGCAGACCTTTCCTCAGCTTTTACAAAATATCCACCGTCTAGAGGTGAGTTTCGGGAGGGTCTCAGTAAGCTCACTGAACGTTTTGAGAGATCAAAGGATATTCCTCTATGCTCTGTTTATACGTGAATAGTGTGTGGGGCTACCTGGTTCTGACAGAGCACCTAGTCCTGCCTGAAGGTGGTGAATGAGTCCTGGGGATGGTCTTGTTGCTAGTAAAAGGATTAGACATCTCTGATAGAACGTGATTCTCTGGCAGTTTGCTGATGTAAATACTGAATAATTATTTTTTTTCTTGATTTCTTTTACAGTTTCCTTCCCAGATGGGTTCAGTGCTAACAAACCCTTTGTTGCTTCACTACATGAATTACATCAAAGATGAGTCCATTTACCTGAGGCTTTACTATTGGATGGGCCAGACTCTTCAGGAAGGTAGGAACTTTGTATTGCCCTGCATGGCAGGGAGGTAAAGGATGTCTGAGGCTTTTCACCTTTCACTAATGGCACTTTGCTCTTCAGATTTATAGTGATTAATCATGTAGCGTTAAAACAACTACTGGAGCAGAACTGAATTTTGTTTCTGATTGTGCTTATTCTTGCTGTGCTCATGTTCAAATATAAGTATTCTCTCCTGTTCAGAATGTACCTGGTGTGTGGTTGAGAATAGCCAATATGAAGAAGAATTCAAGGACTTCCTGGAAACTGTCTACAAGGCAGAGAGTTTCTTGCAGGTAAGTGCCTGTTTTGTGAAAGCCAAGGGTGTCACAAAGCCTTCCCTTAAAGTGCTTTTGGGACTTGCTTCCTGTAGCATCTCTGAGAAGTCACAGTGTCTCAAGTAATAAAAATACATATTCCTCTAGTGAGTCAATATTCTGGAGATGGCCTTGCTTTCTGCAGGGAAGCTAATTTGAGGATGATCTTGAAAATGATAATTTGAATGTCCTGGTGTGAATTGTGTGGCGAAAAGGAGGTGGAAGCCTCTTTCTTTCTCCAGGATGACGTGAGCATGGTGCAGGCATTTGAGATGAGTTTTGGAATGTTCATCTTCTGCTTTGTAGGAGGGATTTTCTTCCTGTGAAGAGTTCCTGTATAAGAGCCTTCCTCTCTGGGATGGTTCCTGCTGCCGAACACAAGTCCTCAGTCTTGTGAGTTGGATTCCCCTCAGCACCTTCTCTGGTATGTGTTGTGGATCCTTTGGGTGAGGTTGGACAGTGTCCCACCTTCGGGCATAGAATTTGTTCACTGACACCATGCTGCTTTCTCATTTGTTTCAGAAATGAAGTCACATCTCTATGATCCCCTGGCACAGCTCTTCTTCACATCGTCCTTTTACTTTAAGGTAATTTAAGTGAGTACAGTGGCTGTTTACTTCTAGTTGGTATTGCTCTCTGCCCTTGGGTCAGGTGTAGCAGTTCTGAGGGATTGTATGACTCTTTTGGGGAAGCCTGTGCCCAAAAGAGGGTAAAATATATACTTACAACATAACTTCTTTGGGAATTTCAGTGCCTTTATTTCCAGGGCACTGGAAATAGAAAGAATTGGTAGTTCACAAAATGATAGTTGGTTTATTTTATTGCAATTTTCACTCAGTATTTGTAAACTCACATTCTCCAGGAAAAGCTATGTCACACATACATTCAGTTCAACAGGACATGCAAGTATCTCACTGCTCTTTGTGGTCCTGAGGAACTCTCGATACCTTGCCTTGTATACATCCATTCTCACCATGTTTTTTATTTAGTATTATTCACTTATGTAAATTGTCATGAACCTGTTTTCTCTTTGCCTGTTGCAGTGCAGTGTTCTTGAGAGCTTGAAAGAGCTGTTACAGAACTGGTTAAATTGGCATGTGAGTCATTTGGATCCGGAGTCTGACTCTCAAGCCCAGTCTTCGTAAGTTTATCTGAAATAAATGCACTACAGTGTCCACTAATGCATTTAGATATATATTCTAGTCCTATTAGCTTGCATAAAGACTGACTAGAAGGTTAATAAGGATGCAATTTTCTGCTACATTGTAAGCTACCTTGTCAGTCCTGTTCTTTCTCTTTAAGTATTTCTATTGACACTGAAAACTTAAATGTCCAGAAGTCAAAGTCCTTGTAACACTGACAGCCGGGTCGTGTTTGTAATAATCTTGGTAACAGTGAGTTACTGAGTATATTAAAGAATAAATGCATGGTGCTGAATGCTTGATGAGGCGGAAGGATAAACTTTGATTTCTTTTTTACCACTTTTCCTTTTTTACTGCTTGCGAAGAGGTGCGTATACTAATGTTGCATCATGTCCTGGCTGCAGGAATACCACCCTTTCTGGACTAGTGAACACGGTGGCTGAACTGATCCACTTTGTTGGAAAGATCTCTACTGTTGCATTGCGTCTGGAAAACAATCCTACTTTCATGCTGTACTTCATCCTGGATTTCTATGAGACCGTACGTATCCCATTCATTTTGGCTTGCAAAATCCCAATACTCTAAGACTGTTTGCATTTTTTTTTAAGCTAGAGCATGAAAACACTTTTCTTGTTATAGTTTACAGGCTTTGTGATTAAATGCAAGTATTCCAAATACTTGGTAGATCTACAGGTGAAAGCTAGAGCATGAAAACACCTTTCTCGTTATAGTTTACAGGCTTTGTGATGAAATGCAAATATTCCAAATACTTGGTAGATCTACAGGTGACAGCTGCTGCTGTTGCATCCGTAGGGATGTGGGTAGATTTGACTCGGCAAGTAACCACATCAAAACATGGGGTAGACCTAAATGGTTGAAGCAGAGACTGAGATATGGATGATGAATGGCTCATACTGAGGAGGAGACATGGAATTGCTTCATCCTGGCCTTCCCCCCTAGGTGAAGTTGATGGAGCCAAGAGGAATGCAGTGTCATGCTCTCTTTTGCTCTTAAATGCTTCAGGGTGTACTAATGGCAGTAATAAGCTGCCTGGATTTGCTTCCTTCCTGCAGGTGTGTGACATGTATCTGAAGTACAACCTGCCTCTGTTGATAATGCCTCCTGCTGGAATTTTCTACCCAGCGCTTCTCAGCATGGATTCTGTCAACTTGAATCAGCTCTGCTACATCATGTACAGGTACTACACGTGTACGGACTCCTTGTCTTCTCTTTCAGTCTTTTGGAAATGAAATTACTTTGGTGTAAAATCTGACATCTACATTTTCTTACCACGCAAGGCAAAGGTGAATGTTCCAGCTGTGCCCAGCTTTCATGATACTGGATTTTATAGCTGTAGTTTCTACTTTTTTTTTTTAATCTCTTCTCCAAAACAGCAAGATTCTGACCTCTTTCCTAGTATTATTCCCACATCTTTGATGTGGGAAAGAAGGAGCTCCCATGTTGTTTTGAGAGAACTTGAGTCAGCCAGCTGGAATCACTAGCAGTTAACTACACAACTTCTCCTTCCTGTGCTTTGATCACTAGTCCTGAGCTTTTCCTTACAAAAAGCACTTCTGCCACCTCCAAACTCTGTGGAAATTTGGGACTCTGCCTTGTGCTGCCTTCGGGTCCACAGACAGCACTGTTTAGGGCTCTGCAGGATCCACTAACGGGGCTGCTGTTCTTGGCCTCGTTAGTTCCAGTGGTTGCATCGGAGAAGAAGAGTAGCCAATTGCTGACAGCTGGCGCAAGGCTCACCATGTGGCTTTTCCTCTAAGGAGTCTGCAGGGTAATTAACATGACAGGATGGTCTCTGGGAAATAAGAGGAGCTAGTGCTTATTATATAGAACAACTGTCAAGTTGCATTACTTCCAGTGGCTTCCGTTTCTCTGCTTAGTGAATGGAAGTCTCCCTTAAAAATACACTACTTTTTTCTGCCAATTTTAAGGCTATATATCAGTTCTTGAGTATTGCCTTTATGAAGGTGACTGTCTTCTGCCAATTTTAAGGCTGTATGTCAGTTCTTGAGTATTGCCTTTATGAAGGTGACTGTCCCAGGCAAACCAGTCATGTCTTAATCATTTAAGAAATCAGTATTACTGGGGCTCTGCCTGGAAAGTGTGGGTCTAGGCCAAGTGATAAAGTTCCTCTGAATTCTTTTTCATATTTCTTTTTTTTTACCAGTAAAGTTTGATGATCTCTCTCATGGAGGAAATAAGCTTTCTTAATATGTTCTTCCAGGTTTTTTCAACGCTGGTAGGTGGTAAAAATTACAGGCACGTAACTTTATCCTCTGTTTTTTCAGGTATCGAACCAATTTGGTGGCTGCAAAAGAAAATGAGCTGAGTAAAAAGGTATTGTGGACAAATCTGCAATGTGCTAGAATGGATCTTAGTGAAGAGATGGGTTGAATGGAGGGGAGGTGTTCTGGTGACATTCTTTTAAAGACTGGAGGAAGCACACAACTGGTTTGAGGATGCGATTTCAATAAATATCAATATCTGTTTTCTTGTCCCTCAGAAACTACTGCAATTCAAGTTCAGTAGCCAGACATACCAAGAGTACAACCAGTACATAGTGGCTATGGTGGGTTGCCTGTGGACATCCAGTGCCTTCCAGAAGGATACTCATCCTCAGGGTCTTCGTATGGATGATGAACTGCTGAAGAAAATGGCAGTGCAGGATTTGAAAAGCAGCTTTAACATTGTCTACCACCCAGCCATGATGGGCTATGCTGTTCTCTTCCTGCAGGAGGTAATGGTGTAGGCCAACATCTGGGCCTCCTCCACGGGGCCAGCTGATTTGTCTTGACAGTTTCTCTAGAGAAGTGTCTCTCAATCCTCTGGCTGACCTGTAGAGTCAACTGAGCTTTCAAAAGCTGATGTGACATTCTGTGTTTGTGTCAGATCAGTGGCACCATTTGAATAGTCTTTCTTTGCATGATATGAAGGCATGAATGTAACAGTTTTAGGTGTGAATTTGTGCTTATGATTGTTTTGAGGATAGAACTAAAATACTAAATAACGAAATAAATGACTAATTCAGTAAAAGCTTCCCAATAGTGCATCCTGCCTCCCAAAATACAGAGTGTGACCTAAACATGTAAACTCCAGAAAGTCAATAAATATGTAGTTAAATTGTATATGGGAGAGCACAGTAGAACTTGTAGCAGTGCTTTCTGGCTCTTTTGGGAATGGCTTATTAAAAAAGAGATACAAGTAATTACTTCAAGTACAGAAGTAAGATAATATGGTGCTGTCTTCTATTGTCTGATAGGAGTTCTGCTCCTAGTTGTCTTGAATTCTGGGTGCCATCCTGCTGAGTAGTGCAGGGAGCAGATGGCCAGAGTTGTTATTGTTCTGAGATGTTCATGCTGCTCTGAGAAATCAGGTTTTTAGACTGATCCAAGGGGTGCACAAAGATGCTGCTCTGTTGTGAGGAACACTGGCAGGCTGAAGGCACCCATAGGGGTGGCTCCTGGAATGAAGCAAGGGAAACCTGAGGTTAAAGTTGAAGCAAAGAATACTGATTAGGAACATTTCACAAATTTGCCTTCACTTATCTACTCGGTGTCCTGAATCTAGGTAGTTTGTTTCTTTCCTCTGACTGAACTCAAGTTTTATCTTTGCCAAAGGAGGCTATTTTATTTTTGTTATATACAACTTCTTTCCCGGTCTTTCTCCTTTTGTAGCAGGATTAGTTTTTCATGTTCTCTGTCTTGATCCTTTCTGTTCTGAGGCCTCCTGATTCTTCTTTGTAGCTTTTGTAAGTTAAAAAAAAATAAAAGGGGGGGCTAAACCCCAACAAACCAACAACACAAAAAACCAACCCAAAACTTTCTGGTGGAGAATTTTTGTCGTCTTCCTTTTGCAGAACCAAGAAAGAGGCTTTCCTTAGCAGCTGTCACAGATGTGTCTTAAGACAGGAGGAAAAAATATTTAGCTGCAGTGTCATCTTTTCTCAAACACTTGGGTGCTGAGCACCAGAGGGCACTGCTCTGCAGCACACTCGGAGAAGACAGGCAATAATCTAAATGTCAGGAGGTTCTCTCTTTCTCTTTCCCATTGTGGGGAATTACCCATCTGATGTTTTGAAGGGGTAGCTTTTACACTGTAGAGAGACAATGGTTAAAGAGAGCTATACATACTGTCTGCTGTTATCCAGTAATGCTGCAGCACAGGGCAAGAGGGTTTCCACATTACTTTGCTGCTTGTGGACACACTGGGAGGCTGGAAGCCTGTTCTGAAGCTTGATTTTAAAAAAATCTCTGAATTTCTTTGCACACTTGAAATTCCTGATTTAGGAGGGGAATAAGCAGAGACCCAGAAACTCTGGACATACTTCTTGTCTGACTTAATACTGTTTTTATTCCCTTTCCTTAAGGCTTGGCCAGATGATACTTCCTTCAACTTCAGTTTAATTAAGGTAAGATTTCTTGTTTTAGTGAAGTGAAAACAGACAGTTTTCAGCAGCTATGTAGAAGAGGATGAGGTGATAATAATATTAACTCCACTAATGCTCTACAAAAATATTTAAAAGGGAAAATTCCAGCTGTACTTTGGTTCAGTCTCTTAACGGGGTCAATTAAGGAATCAACATCTGAGAAATTGTGCGTGTAGCCGTCTGTGGGAAGTGGTCTGAGATTTTTGTTTCCTCCATGAGCCAGTGTGATATCAGGACAAGGTTGTTTATTGTTCTCTGCAGGTTTCAGAAAAAAGTTGTATTTTTGGTATACTTGAAACAGAATTTCTGTTATCCATGAACTTAATATTAAATTTCTGAGATGGATGTGTAGCTTTGTTATAGCTTTGAACAGGGATCCTCCACTGAGCAAGCACCATGGCGGTTTGTTTCCTTTCCTGTATCTGGAGGATATCCTGATCTGGAGGAATCATTGTTATAATATCCATGTTTATTTGGTTCCTGACATCTTCACTGTTGATCTAATAGACTTTTTAGAACTGGGATTTATAAAGATCTTCAGGATTTAAAAAAAAATAATCATGATTTGTCGTGTTCAAGCTAAGAATGTGTAATACATAAATGGCAAGTTAGACATTTGGGATCAGGACGGGACCCTGTTTGCCTGTGGGTATTTACAGACTAGGATGAATGTTGTCAAACTCTGGAAGGAGATATTTGCAGACCTTTTCAGATTGGCCTAAGGAGGCAAAGCCATGTCCCGCACATCTGACTGTTCTTTCTGTTTTTATAGGGAAAGAGGTGGAACAGGTATCTGGAATTCCTCTATTCACAAGGTTTAAAGGGCCTGAAGGTCTTTATTGAAAGCAGCATCAATCGTGTTTCCCAGGCTTCCCACAGTAAAGCAGAGAATGTGCAAGTGTGACCCTGGGACCCACTGGAGCCTTTTTATCATCTGGAGCAGGAAAGCAGAATATAATGGACTGTGTCACTAATTCTTCCATCATCAGAGGAGAGACGCAGAGCAATTACCCTTTGTACTGCCATCTATTTTAGGAAAGTGAAGACATGGAGGGAATGCTTAGGCTGGTGTGGTTCACTAGCACCAAACCCCCTCTGGTCCCTGCTGAACTTCTCTGGTCTGAAGCTGCTGGGCTCAGATGTTACAGATTGTCCACATTTTTCATCCTCGTTTTTCTCTGTTGGAGTATCTGCTTTGAGAAACAAACGTTTTCTATCTCCAAACAGCGATGAGCGGTGCCGTTTCATTCCTAAGTAACTTTGATTCCTGACCTGCTTTGCCTTCCTCGACAGCAGGTAATGAGAAACAATTCAATCAGCCTTTCAGGGATACCATTTACATACTGGACTGGAGCACTACGAGTTTCCCAATTCCCTGTCGTACTGTGTATATAGTGGCTTGTAACAGACTGACTAAACTGACTTTCCTGCACTTCACTATGAAACTCCTAAAAGAGACATTTTGCTGCCATTGCTTATAATGTTCTTCTCGTGCAGCTGGAAAATTTGGTGCTCGGTTGATGGCTTATTGATGATTTGAGCACTTGAACAACGTTGCCACCAGCTCACCATTTTCTATTGATAAGTGCAAATGTAGCTTTCCTTGTAGTCTTTTTAGTTCTGTATGTGTTGTATATTATACGTGTACATATATATATAATTTATATTCTGTAAAATGTTTCCAACATGCCATTTTGAAGAAACCCTGCTACAAAATATCTCTCTTCCTGTTATTTCATTTTAACACTGAGTAGAAGTTGGGAAAAGCTGAAATGGGGTCTCTAAAATTTGAGTGAACTGAATTTCACTGCTGTAAACTGAGGCTGTAACCACTTGAAAGTAGACTGAATTTTGCTTTGTGAATCTCTAGTTGGATCCAGTAAAGGAATCAGTCCTGAGAGTGACTCTAGAGCCACTAAGGATGTGTTTGATTTTCTTCATTCTCTCAAAATCAGACTGGCTCCAGGTTAAGTACCACACTTCTTGGCTCAAATAGATGATCTGATTATATATACCCATATAAATATATATACGTATTAATTTTCTCCAGAGAATAAGAAAAATCTTTCACTGGAGACTTTGTAAGAGTGAGATTTGCAGAGACATCTCTTTAGACTAAAGCATTGCCCTTTCTCACCTAGCTGTTATTCCCACAAGCACAAGTGCTGCTTGCACTTCAAAAATCCTTGATTATATTTTCTCAACAGGGGGAAACTCCACAAATTACAAATTCCTCCAAGTGGATATGTCTCAAGATGTGGCCTTAACATATAGCCAGTTATCTTGTTCAAAGGCTAGTATAGTTGTTTTGGGTAAGCTCAGCTTTTTGGCTGAGGACTCTCCCAACCCCAGTGGCTGGTGGTTCCTGTCATGGTGTTGCCTGTTCTTAGATTCTTTAATGGTTTCAGTGAAGGGCCCAAGGAGAAGAGTTCTGTAGCTCCATAGTTGTTTTTATGATTTTTCTATGGGGCTACCTTCAGAATAGTATTGGAAAGGGTATGTACTGCATTCCTTAAGGACAACTTAATCCTTAGCTTTTGTCCTTGCAGCGTACAATTGTCTTCAGGTGGTGACCAGGCTTGTACTTCCATATTGCTGCACTGGAATTCCATATAGAAACTGGGCTGGAGGGATTGACAGTCCTAGGAAAACACAAGGTGAAGACATGGAAGCAGTTACAGATCTGTGTGGCGGGCTCATTCCATGGGGACAGGAGTAAAGACAGAACATCTCAAAGAAGCAATAAATTCTGTCCAGGAAGACAGTCTTTGTGTTACCTGGGTGCTGTTTGGAGTTTATGAGGAAGGAGTGGAGCTCTGTAGGATTCCTGTCAGGCTGGAAGGTGCTGCCAGAGGCTTCATTTCAGTTGTGAAAGGTCCCCAGATTTTTAAGAGTGTGTGTGATGTATGTAAATGTATTTAAAGAGGCTTACAGCAGAGTCCTTTATTATTCAGATATACTGAATGCTCTGTATTGGTCCCCAAGATGAGTTTTCCCTTGAGGTTGGTGTTTGACTGAGAAAACACAGAATCATGTTACAGAAGACTGTTGTTGCAGCATCACAGCTCTTGTATTATACCCTGTGTTACAAAAATCTTTAAACAAATTGAGTACAATTTTGTCATTCAAGTGCACAAGACACCTAGAAGTGCAGAAATAAAGTAACAGGGCAGAGAACTTTCCTTTTATTGTCAGCTTTGTGGGTCCTGACAGCTATTTAGAATCCTCCTTGCATAGCCATGATGTGCCTATTATTACTTGAGATGACTTGGAGCTTCTTTGTACACCTTGGTAGTTCTTGTTTTTCACATCTGGACATTTTTGTTCTCTTTTCTCTAAATATCTGACTTTTCTTCCATTCAGGTGGAATGTTAGTATGGTCCTTTTAGGGAGGAATATGCTGTTGTACCTCTTCCTTTCCCTTCCCTGTCCTGCTCGCTCTTGTGACTGCAATGGTGATGGTCAAGACCTGTGTAGCCATGATGTGCCTATTATTACTGGGCACTTGAGATGACTTGGAGCTTCTTTGTACACTTGCATAGCCATGATGTGCCTATTATTACTTGAGATGACTTGGAGCTTCTTTGTACACCTTGGTAGTTCTTGTCGTCTTTCACATCTGGACATTTTTGTTCTCTTTTCTCTAAATATCTGACTTTTCTTCCATTCAGGTGGAATGTTAGTATGGTCCTTTTAGGGAGGAATATGCTGTTGTACCTCTTCCTTTCCCTTCCCTGTCCTGCTTGCTCTTGTGACTGCAATGGTGATGGTCAAGACCCATCCATTTTCTGGTAAGTGACAAGTCAGTGTTTTACCTCTTGTGCCCATTTCTGCCTGTTGCCAGGTGCCACCTCTATGTAGGCACTATGAAACTGTAGCAGAAACAAATAGGGTTTTTGGGACTATTTGATAGGAACAACGTAGGATGAAAAGTTCATTTAAGGCTCACGTTCATGTTGTCAACCAACCCCCCAGAATATTGAAGTTTAGGTCAGAGCTGCAACTTCCCTCTGAGGGGATTACATTCAACGTGGCTCACTAGAAAGGAAGTGAATATTTTCATGTCACAGGTCTGCTGTGTGGTTTTTCTTTCTAGAGGATGCTGTTTCGATGTCCAAATACCCAATATTGGCTGATCTTGGGGAATTGCTGGTTTGTGTCCTGTCTCCCCCGTGAGTAAAAGTTGATGACTTGCTCCAATCCCTGCCTGCCCTCCCTTCTCGGGAGGCTTCTACGTGCATTCAATGTAGGGATTTTGCAGCATTACAAGCTGGCCAAGGGCAGCGGTCGCTTTGGCTACTGGAAAAGCTGCAGGATGTGGTTAAGCTGGTTTAGCCGCTTCCAAAAAGCGAGGCCTTTCTCTTTAGAGAAATCCCTGAGTTGGGTATTAGGTAGGATTTTGAAGCACCGGGCCAGAATCCCATCTGGGATAAGCAGCCACAGCTCTGCTGGGTTCTAATGGGCCTGTGTGGAGCTGCACCAGCTGAACATCTGGTCCATGGGACTGAAGCCATTAACCCCTCCCCTGTCAGACACGTTGACCTGACCATTACGTGTCTGAAAATGCAAATCCCTCGGGCTGCGGTTACACTCAATGCTTTTTCTGAAGCTGCATTTGCTTCACGTTTCTGTTAATCCTGATTTTAGTTTGTGGGGAGAGACTTGTTTGTGCATTTTTACCCGTGAGGCTGTGTTGCCCTTTCAGAGAGAGCTTGCTCTAAAAGAGTTAATAATTTCAACCTGTTTTCAGCTGGAATGAAGAAACTGGTTCCTCTGTGTCCCTGCTTTCTATTCTCTTGTTGGCCTACTTCCCTCTGCTTGCATTTTGCATTCCTAATGCCATGAATAAATCAGGACCCAAGGATTTAGAAGGTGGTACAGCTGTAGCCACTCAGAAAATTGAACCTCTGAGGCTTGTACTGCAGCTCTAATAACTGCCAATACGCGTGCTCCCGAACTCTTCTAATAGCATTTAACTGCTACCAAAATAAAATTCACTTTGCCTTTTTCTATATAACGTTTATGGGGTTTTTTGTGCCTGTACCCAGCGTCTCCTCACTTGGCTCCCTTTGTCTTTTAGTTATAGCTCAGTTATAAGCCCTTTAGGGCAGGGCAATCGCCTCCTGGCTGCGGTGACAAGATGGTTTATCACAAATCTTTGCACAGAGGAGGAAAGAAGGAGGGATCTGACCTGGCGAAGGGTTCATCTTCTCTCCAGAATCACAGCACAGTGAGACTCCCCGTCTGGCTTCAGTCCCAGATCTTATCTCTGATAACTTGTCATTAATAATACATGCTGGATGGCTTTTATTTGTAGTGCTGTGGCTTCTGAGAGAGCCTGAGAGGGAGCTCTTTGTGTGTTCTTTAGTCGGGGGATACACCCAGTCTGGGTGAAGAACACCAGGCACTGGGAACAAGTTTGGTCTGGAGGATGAATATCCTGAAAGAACAAAATCTCCAAGTATTTTCTTCCAGGAAAAGGTGATTTATGTCATACCGATGGCTTTCCCTCACGACAGCTCTGCTTTTTTAGAATAAAAGTGATGATTTTGGTCTGATGGTTTGGTTTTACCAGACTTTTTTGCTTTTGACTCTTCTTAGCATATGGTGACATGGTTTTGGGCACAGGATTCCTGAGATCTGTATCTCACTGTTAGACCTGCCCGAGTAACTCCCAAGTAATTATAGCTGGCAAAGAAGGAACCTGAAGTACATAAATAATGTTCAGTAAAGTGCATATCTTGTGGTGCTGCTTCATTTCTCTGCTTCTCAGCTTCCTGTCTTGTAGGAGTAAAAAGTCTGCATAGCAGAGGGTGACATTTTTTTTTTTTTTTAAATATGCCTTAATTATTTTGGCATCTGATTTCCATTTTCAGGCTCACTAGAGTCTTTCACAAACGTAGAAACCGAGACAGTTGGTCTTCAAAAAAATATATATATAATGCTGCAGGTACCTTACACAGGCTCTATAAATGTTATTTTAACCTTGACAGCATTTAGAAATCTGTGGCTCAGACGTGATTCCATTCTGCAGCTTAATGAGCGAAACGTGCATCAGGCAAGCTTTGGTCCCTGCCAAAAAGTGACACGAAATGGATTGTTCTAGCACAGGCCAGACCAGGGGATATTAAGTCACTGTAACGTGGCTGAGCTCTGGAGCCTCAAGCCTTGGGTTTAGGTCCAAATTGCAACGGATACTTTTGAAAATTTTATTCTCTGCCTAAATCTTTTGGGTTCTTCCTTTAAAGAACTCAGTTATAAGCTCGTGTATATGTATATTTTTATATGGACCTGTATCCCCATGCAGTTTTACTCACCAGTTTTTACAGCCAGAAGTTCCCACTGGCTGGAAAATGAGAAACACAACCCCTATCTTCTAAATGGGGGAAAAAAGACAGACCTGGGGAACTACAACCTGATCAGCCTCACCTCTGTGCCCAGGAAGATCATGGAGCAGATCTCCTCCTGGAAACTGTTAAAACACAAGGAGAACGAGGAGCTGACTGGTGACAGTCAACATGGCTTCACTGAAGGAAAACTGTGCCTGATAAATTTGATGGTCTTCTATGGTGAGGTTGCAGCATTGGTGGATAAGGGAAGAGCTACTGGTGTCATCTACCTGGGCTTGTGCAAAGCATTTGGCCCTGTCCCACATGATGTCCTTGTCTCTAAATTGAAGAGGCATGGATTTGACCGATGGACCACTTGGTGGATAA